AAATCAAATGCTGTACTCCAAAGACTCTTGGAAAGTCATCTTAAGATAGCTGCTTAAAAAGTACATCTTGGAAAAAAAAAAAAAAAAAGTACATCTTGGTTGTACTTTGATGATTTACTGATGGATTAGCAGATAAAATTAGTCAAGAATGTATTATTATTTTGTATTTGTGTGGAGGTACATACAAATAAACTGGGGTGTTCACTTTGATACTACCAGAAAAAGATTTCATCAAGGGAAAACAGTATAGGCACCTGAGTGCAGGTAGCTCAAAACACCAGCTAAGAACCAGGCATAATAGTGCACACCTGTAGTCTCAGCTACAAGGGAGGCTGAGATTGGAGGATCACTTGAGCCCAAGAGTTCACAACCAGCCTGAGCAACACAGTGAGACTCCACCTCAAAATAAATTACAACCGCAAAAACAAGCCACACAAACTAAGAAATGTAAGATTTTTATTTAGGAAGGAAAGAAGGAGAAGGATAGAAGAGACTTCAATAAATATTTTACACTATCAAAAGGAAAACAAAGATGCAAACAAAGCATGGCTGAAATATTCTAGGTTCCCAGTTGTCTTCCAAATGGGAAACAGTACTTCTACACAAAGCAGATTAGTGACCTGCTAACATCAACTGAAAAGTATGAATCCCTTATAAACTGTATTTTTAAGGTGTTATGGCATAACATATAGCATGGAAAAATATGTATAAAAATTTGTACATTCCCATTATTATCAGCATCTCAAAGGCCAGCACAGGGAAAGACAACGATTACTCTAAACTTTTTTTTAAAGTTGCTCTCCTTTGCTGCCTAGGCTGGTATGCAACTCTCAGACTTAAGTGATCCCCCTGCCTCAGCCTTCCAAGCAGCTGGGACTCTAGGTACATGCCACCATACCTGGTGACACCTCTAAACTATTTACAGGACATAATTTTCCCAGAAAAAACTTAACTCTTCAAGTGAGTGTGGACATGTGGGGGTTTTCTAACTCAAAATATGCAAATTCCTCCATATGGAAGTAAAGATAATTTATTCTGAATAAATAACATCAAAACACACACACACACACAAATTTTGTTCTCCCTATATAATTCCATTCAAGAATTCACATAAAAAATATAAGTGCTTCTTATGCTTAAATATACCAGATTTTCAAATAAAAACTACTAGCTAAGCATAGTGGCACATGGCTATAATCCAACACTCTGGGAGGCTGAGTCAGGAAAATGAGTTCAAGCTCAGCTTGGACAATGTAGAGACCTTGTCTCAAAATTTAAAAAATTCAAAAAGGACTAGGGATATAGTTCAGAGCAAAGGCCTTGATTTCAGTTCCTAGTACTACAAGCTTAGTTCTATAAGCATTATATTTTCCAGCACAGTACTGAATTGATTATAATTATAAATATCAAAAGCATTATAACATAACATAGCTACAACAAATGTACGTACAAGAAGGGTCACCTGCAGTACTCTGGAAAACGAATCACCTGAAGAGATCCTGACATGTTCAAGCCTCTTAAGTTTAGTTTCAAGAATGTGGAAAGCCACAGAGTCAGCAGATGACCTTTAGGCTCCTTTCATGACTGTCATGCCAGCTGGAGGTGGTGGCACACAACTGTAATCACAGCACTCAGCAGGCTGAGGCAGGAGGATCACTGTGAGTTCCAGGCTAGCCTAGACTACCTAGTGAGTCCCTGTGTCAAAAAACAAAACCAAACCAAAGCAGACAACAAAAACCCTGCCATGCCATGAGAGGGGAAACTGCTTATCCAGAATATGTATCAACACTGACGTGAACACAAAATGCAGTACTTATAGCTCCCTATTACAGTTCTTACCCTAAGTAAGAGATTGTTGGACAATAAAATTCAATCTGTGACCTATTAAACTTCATGTGACATAAACAAATAAAAGAACACCTTTAATAGGCAAGATCCAAAGCTGTGTGAAACACACATTGCTTTGTTTTATAGGATAATAATACTGCTACAAAATAAACACAATTGTTGGTCTAGTCCCACAGAAAATACTGAACTTTATCAACATTCTTCTCAAGTCATCAGAGATGGGCACGGTCACACATGCCTGTAATCCCAGCACTCAGGAGGCTGAGGCAGGAGGATTGCTGCGAGTTTGAGGCCAGTGAGATCAAGGCCAGACTGAACTGCATAGTGAAACCCTGTCTCAAAAAAAAACCACCTAAAAATAGTAATATTGAAACTTTATTAACATCACAGGAAAGATGTTATAGATCTCTGAAAGAACAGCATCAGGTGAGTAAAACTTCTACACTGCATGTTTACTTACATAGACATTATGGCAGGTAATACTTCCACTTGTTCATATGTAAATATTTCTACAGGCATAAACATACATTCAAAGGGGTTTGCAGGTACTTCAAATAGTAAAACACAAAAGCAGATTCCAGCTTACCATTCTTTTATTTAACAGTGAGGGCCTAAGGTAACTCCAAACATTAGGGAAAAACTAAAAGCAAAACCAGAAATGATCCTTGTCTTCAGGAATCTCAAAATCAAATGGAAATACAAATACAAATCCCGCTAAACTGCTGAGAAACTTCAAGTTGAAAACACTGCAAAACCAACGGAAGTTAACTGATTATTTACACTGCCCACATCATCTTTCCACAGGATTCATCCAAATAGGCAGTGACCCTAAATTCATTTTCTCTTACACCCCACATCCTGATCCCTCAGTAAACCCTACTGTGTACCTTTGAGATACATCCAGGGCCACCCCATTTCCCATCCTTCTACTACTGAAGTGGCATGGGACACCATCTTCTCTCATCTGGTCTGGTCTTCCAAAGATGTCCCTATCCTAATCCTCCAAACCTATCAGTACTTTATTTCCACAGTAAAGAAATTTGGCATGTGTAATTGGGGGCCGGGGGGCGGGTACCGGGAATCAAACTCAGGACCTCGCGCTTACCAGGCAGGCGATGCGCCGCTGAGCAAAACCCCCGCCTGGCATGCGTAATCGAATTAAGTCTTTCGATAGACACACTATCCTTGGATTATGGGGTGGGCGAGGCAACGCAGAAGCTACTGTCTTTGTGACAGGACTGTGGTAGAGGAGGGAGGCAGTGACTGGGAAGTGCAGGAATACGGGCAGGAGCCCACAGATGCCAGCAGCCTCTAGAAGCTGTATTCCCCGCCCCTCGTGTGTTCAGCAGGAACACAGTCCTGACGACGCCTTGATTTTAACCTGGTCTCCCTGCTTCACCTTTTCTCTTTCCTTTTAGCCTCAGAGCAGCAACCCAGGTTACCCTTTCAAAATATAAGCCACATGCTGAAAACCTTCCAGGGGTTTCCAATGTTAGGCAGTTTGAAATCTAAAGTCCATATAAAAGCCTTCACCTCTTTCATAATCAGCCCTACCTTCCCACAGGGTTGGTACAGTGGTTCCTTGTGTTTACGAGCCTAGCATACTTCAGCCTTGTCACTTTTCTCTTTGCCCGAATCCACTCACCACCCTCCAGGCCAGCAAACTCCCCGCTCGCCCTTAGCGTGGACCACAAGCCGAACTCCTAGGGCCCTCATGTTCACGGCTTCTTTCCGAGAAAGCCGCAATGTCTGCGTTCGCTGCGGCATCCCCAAATGGGATAACGCCTGCCTGTATACGCCACCTAACATCTCATATACGTCGTGGGTGAGTAAATAAACCAGGGGAGAACTCTTACGACGGCAAAACTGTGGTTGGATTTTTGTTTTGTTTTTTTAAGGAAAATATAAACGGGAAGCCGAAAAAAACCATGAGTTACAAAAAAACTTGTAAATCATATTTACACAGTAAATAGGATTCCCTTAAACCTCGGGCACACATGAAAGCAGAATTAAGAAGGGACTGAAAACCACACGACTGTATGAAACATAATCTGGAAATACAAAAAAAGCCTGGGGACTATTTCTCAGTAAAGACCGCAAAGCAAAATGCCAGCATTTTCTGGGCATTTCTTCCCAAAGCATTCGCACCTGCCAGACAGGTCTTGGCAGATAAATAATTTGCTTTTCAAAACAACAAAACAACAAACAAACAAGAAAACCGGCCCGACGTTAGCAAAGCTGGGATGAAGCGCACAGATAGAAAAGCAGGGAACCGAAGCCCCGGCGCCCTCCCCTCCCCTCCCTCCAGCCGGGCCGGGGCGCAGACGCAGGGGCGGCGCCCACCCGCGGCGCCCTCCACCAAGGCCTCGCCGCGGCTCGGGGGCGTCCGGACGGGGGCGAGAGGCGGCCGGCGCCGCTCGGGGGAGCCGCGGCGAAGTCCCAGGCGAGGAGGGAACGAACCTGTGCGCTCCGACGGAGGCCGCAGATAACAGCGCGCAGGATGCGCCGCTAGCCCGCCGCTACAGGGTCTAGAGCCCCGCCCCCAGCCAGCCCGCTCCCGGCCGCAGGAGAAGACCGCTGGCTCGCCCGGCGACCTCGCTCCTGTCACCCTCGGGCCGCCCCCGCCTCTCAGGCTCGAATCCAGAAAAGCAGGGGGCGGGAAACAAAGGATTTCGCCCAATCCCAGTCAAGCTCCTCCCACCAGACTCGAGTCCGGAACTACATATCCCATGAGGCTCTGGGCGGTCACCGCCTTCTACCGGAAAAGGGCTCACAGGAGTAGGGGAGGAGCCCAAAAGGGATTGTGGGAGAAAGGCTTCTTCCTTTTCGTCTGGCGGCAGCCATCAGGTAGGCTGTGTCTGGGACCTTCACTCTTTCATCCGCCGGTAATCGCTCTCTGTCTCAGCCATCCGAACTTGAAGACCCTGCGTCTTCGGGGTCCCCCCTGTCTTCTGTGTGGCGAGAGTACGGTCAGGATGCAGGGCCGCGAGGATGTGGAGAGGCGTCCCCGGGGGCGGGCAGAGGGAAGACGCGATGGCGGCTCGATTTCTAGCTGGGCCTCAGAGCCTGAAGGAGGCGTGGGGCGGACGGTTGGGAGGCTGGGCCTCGGGCAGCCAAAGGCGAGGCCGGCTCGTCGGGTGGTAAGACTTCCCCTAGGCAGGTCGCCCTCGTTGGTGACAGCAGCACCATCTTTCCCTGTGGTGTCGGCGACATCGCCTTGCGAGCTGGGCCCCTGGGGACGAGCCGCCGCGCTCGCCACTCGCCCTCTTAGTGCCGGATCGAGCTCTGTTCGTTCGTCCACCGGAAACGCCCTGGCGCTGCGGGCTGCCGGGTGCTGGGTGGCCGTGCGCGGCGCCGCGGGGGGGGGGTTGCGGTCCGGCCGCTGCGCCGCGCGCGCGGAGCCGTTTTCGTTCCGGCGCTTTGCTTCGGGTAGGTAGCAGCTAAGATGGGCGGATGTGTGGCCTCATTGTACTTCAGGCGGGGGCCGTTTTTTCATCCGCAGCTTTGCCTCCCAGGTAAGCCGAGATGGGTGCGTACAAGTACATCCAGGAGCTGTGGAGGAAGAAGCAGTCCGACGTGATGCGCTTCCTCCTGCGCGTCCGCTGCTGGCAGTACCGCCAGCTCTCCGCGCTGCACCGGGCTCCCCGCCCCACCCGCCCGGACAAAGCGCGCAGGCTGGGGTACAAGGCCAAACAAGGTGCGTGATCTCATTGCCTGCAATTTGGGGATTGAATCACTGTATATTTGTCGCGAAAAGCCCGAAACTGGTGATTAGGACAGCGCTGGTGCCCTAGTGTCTTCCTTGGCGTCGTGCTTTTGCAGGGCAGGGCCAATAGCAATGCGTGCGCTGAAACTGCTTGGGGTAGGTACTGTGTGAAGTGGCAGGTGTGTAGATTACAAGTGTGCACAACTGCACCACCCTTTATAAACCCTGGATTTTTAAAAAACAAGTCTCCTAGTGTGTCTTTGTGTGCCTAGGTTATGTCATATACAGGATTCGTGTGCGACGTGGTGGCCGCAAACGTCCAGTTCCTAAGGGAGCAACCTACGGCAAGCCTGTCCATCATGGTGTCAACCAGCTGAAGTTTGCGCGAAGCCTTCAGTCAGTTGCAGAGGTAAATAGTCTTGAGTAGCAGTTGTATCCATTCCTTATTAGGGTTACTGGCTAAGGAGGATTTGAGCAACTTTTCTAATTTATCTCTGGAAGCTTTGCAATGTATAACATGGGTTTGACGATAATGTTGGCAAGAGTAGTTGCTGTCAAAACTGTAAATCTTCGTTATTGACCTGTACTTACATATATACTGAGAGTGTTTCGTGATTAGTGAACTTGTGGAACCCAAGCTTTCAACGGCAGTAACATGATCTTAGCACACTTCTGGATTCTACATTTGTTTATGTTACCGATCTTCAGTGGTCAGTTACAGGTTATTGTTTTTGTTTTTTTGGTTTTTTGGTTTTTTTTTCCCGGTACCAGGAATCGAACTCAAGACCTTGCACTTGCCACGCAGGTGCTTTGCCGCTGAGCTAAATCCCCAGCCCCCAGGTTATTGATTTGTAAATTAAGTGGTGCTCTGTTGGATAGGTTAGTTAGCAAACCAAAGCCTAACTCCTTCCACAAGGTCAAAGTTTCTTTTTCAAAGGAGAGGCAGTATGTGAGAGACCAGATGTGCCTGCCGAATTTAAAGTATATACTAAAATTTGAAGAAAATTATGCTGGAGTCTGTTGTATTAGAAGACAGGTTACAGATGTAGGTAATGTGGTGCAATGCTTTCCAGCATGCATGCAGGAGGCCATGGGTTCAGTCCCTCAGGGGAAGTTCCTTAATTTCATGAGTTGAGTGAAAAGCCTCCATCTCTTGTAATGACCCAGAGTTCAGTTAGGATTCTAATTTGCTACTGTAAACAATATGTGAGGCTGACCTTGGGTCTTTTTTCCTGTTGTAGGAGCGAGCTGGACGCCACTGTGGAGCTCTGAGAGTTCTCAATTCTTACTGGGTTGGTGAAGATTCCACATACAAATTTTTTGAGGTTATCCTTATTGATCCATTCCACAAAGCCATTAGAAGAAATCCTGACACCCAGTGGATCACCAAGCCAGTCCATAAGCACAGGGAGATGCGTGGGCTGACATCTGCAGGCCGCAAGAGTCGCGGGCTTGGAAAGGGCCACAAGTTCCACCACACTATTGGTGGTTCTCGCCGTGCAGCTTGGAGAAGGCGCAATACTCTCCAGCTCCACCGTTACCGCTAATATAAGTAATGTTTGTAAAATTCATAACCTAATAAACAATTTAGGACAGTCCTGTCTGCTTAAAGGTGTTATTTGTCTGTTAAGTAGTCTACTGTTATTTCATGAATGTTTTGTCAAATGGAAGTTAAAGTGCAATAATGTTTGAAGACTATAAGTGATGGTGTATCTTTGTTTCTAATAAGATAACCTTTTTTGTGTTTGCTTTATCTTATTAGGGAGTTATATGTCAGTATTTGAAACATGCTGTGTGGTATAATAGGTATAAAATAAATTCTTTAAAAGAGAAGTGCTAAAACTAGCCCTGTAAATCTGTTTGGTGCATGTAATGAAACCTACAGCTTTATTGAGGTAACACAATACTCCGCTGGTTTGAAGTGGCTGGTTTTTTTGGAGTTGGGCAAATACAAACCTAAAATCAGATAACCCTGTATCATGATCATATGTAGAAAAGATTTGAGAGCTCAGCTAGAGCTTTTTTTCAGATTTAATCCAGAGTTCTCATTTATACAACTGATGCTTCTAAAAGAATGTTTTGAAACTGTCACATTCTCAAGAGTAAACCTGTTGCAGGAAGTTTCTCTTCAAATGAAATGAATTTATCTTAGCCTGAATAAAATCGCAGAAGTCTCCACAGAACCAAGTAAGTAAAAAGTTACCAAACTCCTGGTCTGATTATATGATTCCATGAAATTTTGGATTTGATGCATAGTAGCAGTAATGTTTATACTGGTATGATTTAAAGCTGATGGATATTGAATGTTAGGTAAATTTACCTTAAGGTTTGTGAACTAGTGATAAATGCTAGTGTGGGAAACTTGTAAACCAAGCAGCCATTTAGTAAGTAGAATACTTTGGACCCTATAGCCACATAGGGGAAAGTACTGGCCATTTAGTTTGTGTCACCGTAAGTTCATGGTTTTTAATCTGTTCATTTTTCAATCCTGGTCAGACTGCTGTTCTTGGAAAAGTGTACTCTCCACAAAGACTGCATTTTAATTCTGTTGTCTTCCGGTAGACAGGTAAATTCTGGGTTTTCTGACTTAAAAATAGGGGGTCTAGCTTTAAAATATAATTGATGTTTTCTCTGTACTGACTTGTCTTTGTGGGGCTTCAAAAGAGTTAGTTGACTCAAAACATTTGTTAACAGACAAAACCTTAAAACCTGAGCTTTTAACAAAATGAACAAAGGGCCCATACATTTTGTGTAGAGTTTCTAGTAGAGGAATAAATGTCTACTAAATGAAAGCAAGTGGGCCTTCTGTTAATCTTGTCATTCGCTAGTGCTAATAGTGTGCTTCAAGGTAAACCAAATAACTGCAGAAAACTGGTAGAAATACCAGTACCGCTAGCCGTGATGGCCCATGCCTGTGATCCCACCACTCAGAAGGCTGAGGCAGGAGGGTCGTTGCAAGTTAGGCCATCCTGAATTACACACCAAGACCCTGTATCCAAAAAAAAAAAATTGTGTTTAGTCTGGTTCAGTGGTACATGCCTGTCTGTAAATCTCAGCATGTAGGGAGGATTGCAAATTAAAAAGCCCTCCTGGGGTTTGCTAACCTACCTGACAGGTTAGCAAGACCCTGTCAGGTAGCTGAGTGCTAAGTGACCTTGCGTTGCAGGCAGGGTCAGGTTAGGGGCACTTCCCCCTCATGTGCTGGGCTATAGTTTTACCTCCACAGGCACTTAGGATCTTTATTCCCATAAGACCGACCCTGTCCTCACTAGGTTGCTGTGCTTGCACAGTGGTGTGTCTTTTCTCACTGAGACAAAATACCCAACACTCAAAATTAAGGGAGGGAAGGTTTATTTAGCTCACAGTCTGTGGAGGTTTCAGTCTGTAATCAACTGGCTCCAAGGCAGGGTGTCAGCGCAGGGGAACACTTGAAGGTGGCAGAGACGACAAGGGAAGACAAGCCTCTTTTCCTCCCTTACATTGGAAGCAGGCTACCACCCCCTAGGGCAGGTGTAGCACTCACACCATCTCTGCCCTCCTGTAGCACAGGCTGAAGATGTTTGTAAAGAGAGGACCCTGGCCCCATGCTGAGTGGCTTAGTTAAACTTCTGTCCTTCTGAAGTTGACACAATGTATCACCATTACCATGTGTTTGTGAGAAAACTACCTCAAGTATTGAGTGTCACTGTGATAGATACTCCTTGACCACCCCACAAGCTTTTCCTTTTGCTTTCATGTTTCTTATATTAGCCTATAATTCTAACAGGAAAACTTCAAATTTTTAGAAATAGAACTTTTGGTTTCTTACAACCCTACACATGCAAGTTCTAATATTAATCTTTTTTTGCCAATGAGGCAAACAGATAAAGCAACTTGTTAAGGGTTGCACAGTACTATGAATTCAAATGCTATAAACATTTAAAATTCTGATAATACGTTAATGTTAAAAATGCAGAAGACATCATAAGCTGTATAGTAAATACTCTTTCTTCCCATGTCTCCTCCCTGGAGGCAATTGTGATCAATTTCTTGAGTTTTTAATAGATAACTTTTATGAATATATGAGCAATACAAATACATTGTTTTTTTAGCCAAGTGGTAGGATATACATATTGTTGATTTTTCCATTTAATTATGTACCTCAAGAGTTTATCCCATTTTCATAAACAGTTTATTCATTCTTACATGGGCGTAACATAATTTGTCTGACATGGTCCCTACCGTTGTATTTAAGATTTCCCCAAATGTGGTGTTACTATAAAAGGCAACAACAGAAAAAAAAAAAAAGTGCCAGGCATAGTGGCGTTCCTGTAATGCCAGCACTCGGGCAGCTGAGGCAGGAGAAATGCCATGAGTTCAAGGCCAGCCTGATGACATAGTAAGACCTTGTCTCAAAAAAAAGGAAAAAAATGTGCATATACTAATTTATCTACAGGATAAATTCCTAGTAGAATGGCAGAGTTAAAAATCAGATGTACAATTATTTGAACTTTGATAGATATTACCAAATTATCTTCATAGAGATTATTCCAGTTTATACCCATACCAGCAATGTGTAAGAGGACTTGTTTGCTCCTAACCTTGTGAACACATTATGGCATCAGATTTTGGGTTTTTTTGTTTTAGGTTTTTTTTTTTGTTTTTCCGGTCTGGGAATCAAACTCATGACCTTGTGCTTGCCAGGCAGGCGCTGTGCCACTGAGCTAAATCCCCAGCCCCCGGCATCAGATTTTTGGATCTCTGCCTATCTGTTAAGAGGAAATGGTAAATGATATTCTTCTTTAGTATTATTTTGCACTTCACTTTTTTTCCCCAGTGTTTTGAGTCGGGGTCTTGGTATGTACTTCAGGCTGGCCTTAAACTCACTATGTAGCCCAGACTGGCCTCAAATTTGTGGCAATCCTCAACCTCCTGAATACTAGGATTATAGGCATGTGCCACCATGCCTTGCTATTTAAAACTTTAATAGCCAAGTGTGGTGGTACACACCTGTTATTCCAGCACTCAAGACCCTGAGGCCAGCCTAGGCTAAATAATGAGTTGAAAGCCTGAACTACACAGTGAGATGCTGCCTCAAAAACTCCTTAATGTTTACAGTAACCTTTTATTATTGTTCTTTGTCCATCTTTTCTGTCAGAAAGTCCTCTTTGCCATAAATATCGTACTGTATTACTGTTAAAGGGTTGCTGCTAGTTCATTTCTATATTTCATCATTTTTCTACTCAAAGGTGATTTTATATAGAATAAGTTCTTCAAATTTCAACCAATCATTGCATTCTTTTCTATACCCTGATTTCATCTCTAAATTCCTAAACCAAATTAGTACTTACAGTCTATCAGTCAAGCAGGTTCTGTCAGGCTACAACTTACATATCTCTGTGGTTTAAAACAGAGGTTTATTTCTTGCTCATACTCCTAACCCCTCTACTGGGGATCAAACTCAGGCCCCCACTGAGATAGAAGATTAGGGTGTGGCAGAACTGGCTGGGGAAGTAGACCTGATTGGCTAATTCCAAAAACCCGGACATGTGTGGAACGTTCCCAAAGCCTTGCACATGGACTTCTCACAAGAACTGAGCAGATTTTTCAGCAGGGTGGCCTGGATCTGATGTCATCCTGAGGAGTGGGATCCCAGCACTGCCTCTCAGGACCCTGTGTAGTTCTCACAGATTTCCTTGAGATTTGGACAGTGTAGGAGGACACAGCGATACCATGGCGAGCTTGCTATCATAACTTTTCCATGCTAGTCCCTGCTATGTCACTTTGAGACATAAACTTTGTCACTGTTTTCTTGTTTTGGTTTGGTTTTTTCTCATTTCACCCAATTCTTTGAGAGGAAAAGAATCTGGAATCTAACTCCAGAAGGAGAGGTGGGCAACCCAGAAACTGCTGTTAGTTGGTGAGCCACTTTCAGAAGCAGGCTGCCCAGTAACGCCAGTACCACAGAACTACTTCCCAGTTTATACCCATACCAGCATAAGCTACATAGCTACATTGCTTATGCTGGTATGGATCTTGCTCCATTGCTCAGACTGGCCTCAAACTCGCAATCCTGTCTCAGTCTCCACAATAACTGGGATTAAAGGCGTGCATCGACAAGCCTGGCTTCATACTGCACTTTTACTGAGGACTGGTCATGGTCTCCAGTCCTGACACCAGGCAGTTGGAATACCACTGCCTGGAACTTTTTCTTTTTTTGTTTTTTTGAGACGGGGTTTCTCCACCTAGCCCAGGCTGCCCTTGAACTCACTGTGTAGCCCAGGCTGGCCTTGAACGTGTGGGGATCCTTCTGCCTACGCCTCCTGAGTGCTGGGATTTCAGCTGTGCACCACCATGTCCAGATACACTGACTGGAACTTCGCCAGGTGCCCATACCAAAGGGCAAAGAGAGGATGGCGAGACACACTGGCTTTTAGAGCTTCTGCTCAGAAGTTTGTCACTGCTGGCCCATATCTGTAATCCCAGCACTCAGGAGGCTGAGAAAGGAGGATCTCGGAGAGTTTGAGGCTAGCCTGGGCGACATAGTTCAAGGCCAGCCTGAACCACAAGATAAGACCCTGTCTAAAAATAAAAAACAAGTACCATAGCTATGCCTAGTTTAAAGTGTAGGGAAGAAAAGTATTACCAAGTGCCTGGAAAAAAAGAACCAAATATTTGTGAAAAACTCTAATGACTCTCATATACACTCATCCAAAAAATTGATTTTTTTGTATTCTTTGTGCGCATGTGACATGTTTACTGAAGTAGGAGCAGGCACCTGTGCAGTGCACACTGGTAGGAGCAGTATTTTAATGCCAATGTTGCTTAAAATGGCCAGCAGAGGATGTTG